AGGGCCTGCCCCGAAATTTGGGTTTGTTTTACAACAAACTTTCATTACACCTAGGGGAAAAATGAAGCCATTCTCTTTGGCACGAAACATTAAACTGAGAAAGGGGAAATTTTAAATTTTTAAAGTTTTAATGGGAATGGGGGGGCCCATCACTTTGGTTTTTATCAGTTAAAAAAATTTTGGGAAAACCCCCCTTTTACCCAATTAAAGTCAGGAGAATTGATAGGGGAAAAGTTTTAGTAAAGGGAAAGCGAATGCCAGGGCTGAAGTTCCCGTATAGACAAGCACAGAGTTACCTACTGAGGCTCGCCCGGACCCAAAGTCTAGCCCCATACAATGCCTATGGATTTTGCTTGTCTTCTTGGGGTACTCGCCTTGAAAAAAACTTTAAAGATTTGACTGCAAAACACCCCGAACAAAAAAGTTAAGATTTTATCCCGGGGCTGGGCCAAAAAGAAAATGTAGGCCCGGATGAATTACAGCGTTGGTTTTGTGAATGTTGAAGACCCGAAAATTAAAAAAACTGAAGCTAAATTTATGTTTTAAAATTTCTCACAAACAATGGTTCCCGAAAATCTTGCTGTCATTTTTTCAAGGTTTGGGGAAACCCAAAACAAAACATTGTTTAGGGGGAGGAGGGACAACTTTTGTTTGTACCCACAGTCAGTGGGGCCCGGCTTCAAACAACCTTTTTTTGTACAGCATTTAAAAGGGAAAGGAACAGGGCCCGCCCCCCATGTCAAAGCCAGTCTAGCATTTAACCCGTTCAAGGGAAAACTGCCCCAAAATTTTTCTGATGAATGTACCCCCAGAAAAGGGGGGGAATTTATTTTTTATTTTTTAGCTAAAAATTTGTTGTAAATTTTACCCTTTTTCCTGTAATGACCCTCGTTTTGTAGATAGTCTTAATGACCCTTTGGGGGTATTTGGGTAGTCTTTTTAGTATGTAATAAATTTTCTTCATTTTAGAATAAAAAAAAAATATTATAACCTTTATATTTTAAAAAATAAGGTTTAAAAAGGGCCCCCAAAAGAAATAAGGGCCTCTGTCTGACTTTTTTTGGGTTTTTCCTAGGTTCTCTACCAAAAGCTGATGTATGATAATTTTAAAGTAACTGTTTTATGATACCTGAAAAAAAACTTACTTATTACTTTTTCCATTCAGATTTGGGCCCTTTGGGCCCCGAAGGGGGTTAAAGACCAATTCATTTATCGGGCCGACTCATAGGAAGGAACTGTCATTAAGTGATGAGAGACAGTAGATTAAAAAATACATAATACGTATATCCCCATTAATTAGTGCAGGCACTGGACTTTCATCTCCAATTCATTATAATTTTAAATTTGTACAAAATAGCATAAATTAACAGTGTGCCCAAAGCCTACAGAAAATTTAAACCCCATTTTTTAAAATATTATTTAAAATAAAATTTTTTGCACAATTTCTTTTATTAAAACCTGCAATTAAAAAGTGTTAGTATTTCATTTATCAAAATTTTTAAAAAAAAAAATACTTTATAATACACTATGTATATCTTATCTAATAAAGAAAAATGTGATTTTTTCTTGCTCAAATAAAAAAAAGGGGCACAAAACATTTTTTAAAGGGCTGAATAAGTAAAAAGAAAAAAAAAAAAAAACCCCTTGGTCCTTGGTAAGAATAACTGGTTAAGTTTAATCTCCGAGGAGGGGCTAAGGGGCCTTTTCAGAAATTTTTGGTGGCCTTTGTGCTACTGATGTTTTTGTTGTAACCCCTGGGCCCGTTTCGTGTCTGTAGTTTTAAATTTTCAGGTCAAAACCGCCCCGGTTTGTAGTTATTTTTTATAAACAGTTTTAGGAATTTTGAAGAGGTGGGCAAAACCCAAAATTTTATCTTTTTTAGCAGATGTTGAGCTCTCCCCCTGCGTCTAGGAGGTGAGTTTCTCCATTAGGGAAAAAAAACCCCTTCCCCCGAAAAATTTAAAAAAATGAAAGTGCAGTGAATATTTTACCCAAAATGTTTTTAAAAAAAGGAAAAATTTTAGGAACAACTTTTTTTTAAATACCAGGGTTCCCCCAAACTGGGTACAGTGAACCCCCAAAAAAAAAAACACTTTTACTACCATTCATTCAGTCAGGGCGTGTCGAAAATGGGCGACCTTATAGATCAGATGACCCCCCCAATCTGTAAAAATCCCCACCCCTCCCAGAGTGAAATCACGTACTTCCCACCCCCGGACAAGTCCAGCTAACCCGGTTTTCCCCGAATTGCTTCACAAAAATTAACCCTTTCCCCAACTCAAGCATTTTGTAAAAAAAAAAAAAGGCATTCATCACTCCTATCTTAAAACCTTTCACACATGCCTGTTTGTTTCAAGCCCCTTCCCCACAAAATTCCTCCTACCTTTTTAGGGCCACCCGGAAAATCCCCGTTCCCCCCCCCCCCGATTTTGCCCCAAACCCCCAGTTTATCTGAGGTTTTTTTAATCTTCGGACGCTTGTGGAGGGTTTCCCGCAAGGGGTGCGTGAGGTGTCCTTCCCCTTTTTCATACATTTATTAAACAAAAGTACCAACACTCCAACACTATATCTCCCCCTGCTTTTAACATTTCTGTCATGATCCCATCAGTTCCAGCTGCTTTACCCCCTTTCATTTTACGTAATGCCTCACGTACCTCCCCCACACTTACATTCTGCTCTTCTTCACTCCTAAAAAATGGTATACCTCCCTGGCCAGTGCATGAAATTACCGCCTCCCTTTCTCCCTCAATATTTAAAAGTTCCTCAAAATATTCTCGCCATCTACCTAATACCTCCCTTTCCCCATCTACTAACTCCCCTACTCTGTTTTTAACTGACAAATCCATACTTTCCCTAGGCTTTCTTAACTTGTTTAACTCGCTCCAAAATTTTTTCTTATTTTCATTAAAATTTCTTGACAGTGTCTCTCCCACTCTATCATCTGCTCTCCTTTTGCACTCTCTCACCACTCTCTTCACCTTTCTTTTACTCTCCATATACTCTGCTCTTCTTATAACACTTATGCTTTGTAAAAACCTCTCAAAGCTACCTTTTTCTCTTTTATCACACCCTTTACTTCATCATTCCACCAATCACTCCTCTTTCCTCCTGCCCCCACCCTCCTATAACCACAAACTTCTGCCCCACATTCTAATACTGCATTTTTAAAACTATTCCAACCCTCTTCAACCCCCCCCACTACTCATCTTTGCACTAGCCCACCTTTCTGCCAATAGGCGCTTATATCTCACCCGAACCTCCTCCTCCCTTAGTTTATACACTTTCACCCCCCTCTTACTTGTTGTTGCCACCTTCCTCTTTTCCCATCTACCTCTTTACTCTAACTGTAGCTACAACTAAATAATGATCCGATATATCAGTTGCCCCTCTATAAACATGTACATCCTGGAGCCTACCCATTAACCTTTTATCCACCAATACATAATCTAACAAACTACTTTCATTACGTGCTACATCATACCTTGTATATTTGTTTATCCTCTTTTTCATAAAATATGTATTACTTATTACCAAATCTCTTTCTACACATAGCTCAATTAAAGGCTCCCCATTTACATTTACCCCTGGCACCCCAAATTTATCTACTACTCCCTCCACAACATTTTTACCCACTTTAGCATTGAAATCCCCAACCACCATTACTCTCACACTTGATTCAAAACTCCCCACGCATTCACTCAACATTTAATAATAATAATAATAATAATAATAATAATAATAATAAATGGCTAAATCTGTAGCCCACCTTTTGGAGTTGACCTACGTCCATTAGTTAGCCCAGCCAACATGTGATGATGTCTACAACCACTTTTCTTCTGGTTCCAGTATACAAGTCTCCATCCTCATACCTCCCTATGTGATTATTAAAGCCTGCTGCCCGAGTAAAACGTTTCTCCAATAAAGATACTCAGAAGTCATTTGACTTCAGATTCCAAGTTAATGAATTTCAGTCACTTCAGCTAAAATTAAAATCCCTGGCATTACTACATTTTCATTTCATGAAGCTGTTACAGTTTTGCCCCAAACAAGTCTCCCGTTACCAATTTCTAAGCTCGGGTCGGTGCTGCATGCATATGATCAAATTTTCCTTTCCATTTGTTGGTTTTTGCCCCTGTCTACCACAGGTCTAGTTCACCCTCCCTTTTCTTGCTTTTTCTTTCATCACTGAATAATTTAAACCCCTGTGTATTGCATTCGACAGGTATGGTATGCATCCTAAGAAAAGGCACAAGCAATGTATTCATTTCCAAGCATGATAATTTGTAGGTTCAGCATCAATAGTATTTTTGTGTATACACAGACAAATACAGTATATTAACTGTTCTTCTTTAGCCTCTCTTTATTCAACATTTTGTGTTATGCACACAATAACAGCTAGATAAAAAAGAAAAAAGGGAAAAAATTAAACGATCCCGTACCTCCCACTTGGGGTTTTTCTTTTTTTTTCTTTTTAGTGGCAAAGGGGGAAAACGGGTTCTAGCCCATTGCCCCGGCTTTTAGTTGACATTCAACACGCAGGTTTTGGGAGGAAAGATTCTTATTCCAACCCCCTGGAGGGAAAAGGAAAAAAAAATAAGAACGAACTATTAAAAAAACAAAAAACCCCAATGAATGTGTTAAACATAAACATGTACATGTGTGAGTGTGCCTCAGTGAAAGTGGGGTAGCAAGAGTACCTGAAATCTTGCATTTTTGACACGATTCAGGGAAATGGTTGCCGACTTGGTCCGGGAAAATGGGAAAAATACAATGCCTGTATTTTAAAAGGGAGGGATTGGTATTGGGCACTTTGGAGGGTGTCAAAGCTGTCATATCTGGTGCCTCTCCCAAGACGTGATTTTGTATGAGTGATGGGACAGTGCGAATGAGATTAAAGTTTTTTCTTTTTTTTGGGTTTTTTTCTTTTTTTTTGGGGTCCCTGCTCAGGGGGAAAAATGGCCAACGTTTTAAAAAAAAAAAAGTACCATTTTTTTATTTACCTTTGCAGAACAAAGCTTGAAAATTAAGACCTTTCCCACAAGTGAAAGCTTCCGTAAACGTCATGGAGAAAGGGAGGGAGGGAAAAGAGAGATCCCGAAGAGTGTGCCATTTGCCAGAGCTTATCTGTTTCAGTAATGATCCCCCTAAAGGGGCAATCATAAATTCTTCCCCGGATCGGCACACCCTTATATATCCATCCCCCAAGTATGTGGTATTGGGAAAAATTAAGATTATATCAAGCAAAAGTCCCCTCACTTAACGAATACTGTTTTAAGACGTTGGACTTTGACACCCCTTGACCGTAGCAACTTAAGTAATGAATTGGTGTTTTCCTTTAAATTTATTTATTACAATATCAGTACATACTGTAAAAACTTTTTAAAATATACAAAAAAATTTTTTTTATAAATGGTGCAAAGGTGACATTAAAACATATCAAAAGAGGTTGACAAAAACCCCATACCAGTATAGTATGCCTCTTGTTAACCCTTTGGGGGCCCCGTCCGTAGATCTACGGCTTTACTTTCGCGTCCAAACCGTGATCTAGTCATGAGCTCACCCCACTCTGAAAAACTGTGAGTGGGTACATTTGGGCCTTGATATGAGAGAAAAATCTTGTGGGTGTGACCACTAAAACAGATCCTCGGGCACATGTGTATAATGAAGAAAAACTAAAATATGATTTTTGTTTAAAAAACAGCGACTTTGCAGTGTTTTTGTATGTTTTTTTTTAGTTCTATTTGCGATTTCTTGGTTCTTTTTGATGAAGGGAAAGACATTTTACAGAAATAGAGATGATTTTGTTTGGGTTTTTGCAGGAAAAATGGCTTGAAACTGAGTCAAAGTGCAGAAATTTAAATTTTTTTGCGATATTAAAGGGGTAAAAAAAAACACCTACATGTCTAATACACGCCAGCTGGGGGGGTCAAATATGTTTCAAAATAGGGTGTGATATTTAAAAATTTATTACAGTATTGTAACATAAATCTTCTATTTTTTGGCGTGAAAAAAAATTTTTATGAAAAAAAAAATCAAAATGGAATTTATTTTTAAAGCCTCAAAAGAAAAATGAACAGAGGAAATGTTAGTTTGTTCCGGGAAATCCCTCATTGTTTTTTTGGGACCCTTTTTTTAAAATTGGAAATTTTAACTTTGTTTTAAATTTTGGCCCAAATTAAAAATTTTCCCGTCACTTTAATTTGTGTTGAAACAGTTGACTTGGCGTTTCTTGGCTCAACGTAGAATAGAAGTAATACTAGTAAAATGCTAAATTTTTGGTTGACTGGAATAATGTAATTGGCAAAAATGGGATAAAAGTCGGAAAATCGCTGTTTTTGTAAATACGTGCACACAAATTGCGAGAGCATAATTTCATCAATTTTCCATAAAATTTTTCATTTTTTTTTTATTCCTTCAAAAAAAGATTCTCTCCATTTCAAAGAAAAATAAAAAATTTTTTTTTTTTTTAAAATTTTTGGCCGGGGGGAGTATTCTGGGGCCCCCATTATTTTATGTTATGTCAATGATATGCCCATCAGTGTAAGGCAAACTCCTACGTAGCAGATGCTGCTTGTTGTGTCAGGTAAAAACCCATAGTATTGCTAATGTTTTAACACTGGAATGGAGTCCTGCAGAAATGGTTAGTTTACAAAAAACTTCATTACACCTAGGGAAAAATGAAGCCCTTCTCTTTGGCACGAAACAAAAACTGGGAAGGGTAAATAATTTTAATGTTAATGTAATGGGGAGCCCATCACTTTGGTTTCATCAGTAAAATATTTTTGGGAATCCCCTTTGACCCATAATGTCAGGAGAATTGTAGGGAAATGTAGTAAAGAAACGAAGCCAGACTGAAGTTCCCGTATGACAAGCACAGAGTTACCCACTGAGGCTGAGGACCCATGTCTAGCCCCTTTTACAATGCCTATGGATTATGCTTGTCTTCTTGGTACTCTGCCTTGACAAAAAACTGAAAGATAGACTGCAAATCACCCAGAACAAAATGTAAGATTTCATCCCGGGGCTGGGCCAAAAGAAAATGTAGGCCCGGATGAATTCGCGTTGGATATGTAATTTGAAGACAGAGTAAAAAAAACTGAAGCTAAATCATGTTTAAAAATTTCTCACAAACAATGTCAGAAAATTTTGCTGTCAAATTTTTTCAAGGTTGGGAACCAAAGCAAACTTGTATAGGGGGGAGGCACAACTTTGTTTGTACCCACAGTCTGGCCGGCTTAAAAACCTTTTATTGTACAGCAATAAAGGAATGGAACGACTGCCCGCACTGTCAAAGCCAGTCATAGCATGAACAGTTCAAGAGACTGCCAAAAGGTTCTGTGAATTATACAAAAGGGGGGGGGAATGATTTTCTTTTTTTTTGCTAAAATACGTGTAAATTTTTCCTTTTTCCTGTAATGACCCCCTATTGTAGATAGTCTTAATGACCTTGGTGTAGTGATAGTCTTTTTAGTATGTAATAAAGTTTCTTCATTGTAGAATAAAAGAAAATTTATAACCCTTTTTATTATAATAATAAGGTAAAAGGACACCAAAAGAAATAAGTCCTCTGTTGCTTTTTTTGGGGTTTCCCAGGTTCTCTACACAGCTGAAAGTAGAAATCTATGAACTGTTTTATGTATATAAAAAAAAAAACTTACTTACTTACTTTTTCCACTTCAGATTTGGGGCCCTTTGGCCCTGAAGGGGTTAATGCCTTCATTTTTTGACCGATATAGGAAAGGGAAATGTCATTAAGTGTGAGAGAAATAGATAAAAAACATAATACAGTTATCCCCCCTTTAATTAGTGCAGGCATGGACTTCTCATTCCCAATACTTATATTAATTAGTACAAAATAGCATAAAATTAAAAGTGGCCCAATGCCTACAGAATTAAACCCCATTTTTTTTAAAAATTATCAAATAAAATTTTTGCACAATTTCTGTATTAAAAAACCCCGCAATTAAAAAGTGCTTGCTATTACATTTTTCAATTTTAAAAAAAAAAATACTTTTAATACATATGTATATCTTATTAATAAAAAAAATGTGATTTTTCTTGCCCTAAAGAAAGGCGCACAAGCATTCTTAAAGACTGACATAAGTAACAGAAGACACGCTTGGTCCTTGGTAAGAATAACTTGGTTAAGTAACTCTCCGAGGAGACTAAGACCTCTCAGCATTTCTTGGTGGCCTTCTGTGACTACTGATGTGTGTTGTAACCCATGGCCAGTTTCAGTGTCTGTAGTTTTATTGTCAGGTACAAGCCGCCTGGTTGTAGTATAATTCTTATAGCAGTTTGAGGAAATATGAAAGAGGTGGGCAACAAATTTGATCTTCTTTAGCAGATGTTGAGCTCTCTCCTGCAGTCTAGGAAGGTGAGTTTCTCCACTTAGGGAAAACACCATTCCCCTGAAATTAAAACAATGAAAGTGCAGTGAATATTAGTACCAATATGTTTTAAAACAGGAATTTCTAGGAACAACTTTTTTTTAACATACCAGCCATCACCATCTGAAGTACAGTGACCCAAAAAAGAAGATACACTTTCACTACCATTCATTCAGTCACTGTCTTGTCAGAAGTGTGCTGACATCATAGATCAGATGACCCTCCAATCTGTAACATCCCCACCCCTCCTTCAGAGTGAAATCACTGTACTTCCCACCCCCAGGACAAGTCCAGCTAACCTGTTTCCCAGAATTGCTTCACAAATATTACCTTCCTCACACTCAAGCATTATGTAAAAAAAAAAAAAGGCATTCACTCACTCCTATCTAACACATTCACACATGCCTGTTAGATGTTCAAGCCCCTTGCACACAAAACTTCCTCCTACCTTTCTTAGGGCCACCCTGACTCCTCGTTCCCCCCACCCCAGATTTATGCACACCCCTAGTCATCTGAGTTTGTTTAATCTTCTGGACGCTTGCTGGAGTTCCAGCAAGCGTGCGTGAGCGTGTTAGATAGGAGTGAATGGAGACGAATGGTACTTGGGACCTGACGATCTGTTGGAGTGTGAGCAGGGTAATATTTAGTGAAGGGATTCAGGGAAACCGGTTATTTTCATGTAGTCGGACTTGAGCCCTGGAAATGGGAAGTACAGTGCCTGTACTTTAAAGGAGGGGTTTGGGATATTGGCAGTTTGGAGGGATATGTTGTGTATCTTTATACGTATATGCTTCTAAACTGTTGTATTCTGAGCACCTCTGCAAAAACAGTGATAATGTGCGAGTGTGGTGAAAGTGTTGAATGATGATGAAAGTATTTTCTTCTTGGGGATTTTCTTTCTTTTTTTTGGGTCACCCTGCCTCGGTGGGAAACGGCCGACTTGTTGAAAGAAAAAAAAAAAAAAAAGGTAAAACTTTATAATCAATATATACTTACTGGAGGGAGAGAGTATGGAGGAGGTGAATGTATTCAGATATTTAGGAGTGGACGTGTCAGCAGATGGGTCTATGAAGGATGATGTAAATCACAGAAATGATGAGGGGGAAAAAGGTGAGTGGTGCACTGAGGAGTCTGTGGAGACAAATAACTGTCTGTGGAAGCAAAGAGGGGAATGTATGAGAGTATAGTTATACCAATACTCTTATATGGGTGTGAAGCATGAGTGGTGAATGTTGCAACAAGAAGAAGGCTGGAGGCAGTAGAGATGTCATGTCTGAAGGCAATGTGTGGTGTGAATAAAATGCAGAGAATTCGTAGTTTGGAAATAAGGAGGAGGTGCAGGATTACCAAAACTATTATCCAGAGGGCTGAGGAGGGGTTGGTGAGGTGGTTTGGACATGTAGAGAGGATGGAACAAAACAGAATGACTTCGAGAGTGTATAAATCTGTAGGGGAGGGAAGGCGGGGTAGGGGTCAGCCTAGGAAAAGTTAGACGGAGGGGGTAAATGAGGTTTTGTGTGCGAGGGGCTTGGACTTCCAGCGGGCATGCGTGAGCATATTTGATTGGAGTGAATGGAGAGACATGTTTTTTTGGATTTATCGTGCTGTTGGAGTGTGAGCAGGGTAACATTTATGAAGGGATTCAGGGAAACCGGCAGGCCGGACTCGAATCCTGGAGATGGGAAGTATGGTGTCTGCACTCTGAAGGAGGGGTGTTAATGTTGCAGTTTTATAACTGTAGGGTAAGCACCCCTCTGACAAGACAGTGATTGAGTGAATAATGATGAAAGTTTTTCTTTTTCGGGCCACCCTACCTTGGTGGGACACGGCCGATTTCTTAATAATAATAATATTATACTTTCAATATCTGCATTTACCTCAAATGTTTATCACTCCATTGTGTCCACCTAAGGTTAATAATCAAAATTGTAATTCTTCCCTACAAAACTGATGAAAGTCATATAGCATGACCTAATAGAATATTCAAGTCTCTTGTATTCATTGTAACTCACCTAATGACCATATGTACTGTTACTGCCCTATTAATTTTAACTTAGTTTTAAGTTTGCCCGAAATGCTTTGCATACAAAGGGGCTTTTGGCATGTACACCCAAGTATTATATTCCTTTATACAAACATGTATCATGCCGAAATAAAATATTATTATTATTATTCCTAGGTAGTAGGTTGGTAAACAGCAACCGCCCAGGGAGGTACTACCGTCCTGCCAAGTGAGTGTACAATGAAAACCTGTAATTGTTTTACATGATGGTAGGATTGCTGGTGTCTTTTGTCTGTCTCATAAACATGCAAGATTTCAGGTATGTCTTGTTACTTCTACTTGTGCTTAGGCCACACTACACATACATGTACAAGCATATATATACACACCCCTCTGGGTTTTCTTTTATTTTCTTTCTAGTTCTTGTTCTTGTTTATTTCCTCTTATCTCCATGGGGAAGTGGAACAGAATTCTTCCTCCGTAAGCCATTTGTGTTGTAAGAGGCGACTAAAATGCCAGGAGCAAGGGGCTAGTAACCCCTTCTCCCATATAAATTACTAAATTTAAAAGAGAAACTTTCGTTTTTCTTTTTGGGCCACCCTGCCTTGGTGGGATACGGCCGGTGAGTTGAAAGAAAGAATTATTATTATTATTATTATTATTATTATTTTTATATTATATTATTATCTTTCAATAAACTGGACATATCCCACCAAGGCAGGGTGGCCCAAAAAGAAAAAACCAAAAGTTTATCTTTAGCAATGTATACAGGAGAAGGGGTTACTAGCCCCTTGCTCCCGGCATTTTAGTCACCTCTTACAACACACAATGGCTCATGGAGGAAGAATTCTGTTCCACTTCCACATGGAGATAAGAGGAAATAAACAAGAACAAGAACAACTAACAAGAAAATAGAAGAAAACCCAGAGGGGTGTGTATATACACATATACAGTGGACCTTCAACTTATGATATTAATCCATTCCAGAGAGCTCATCGTTAGACGAAATTATCATAAGTTGAATTAATTTTTCCCATGTGAAATAATGGAAATCCAATTAATCCATTCCAGATGCCCAAAATTATGAAAAAAAAAAAAATTACCACATGAAATATACATTTTTCTACACACACAAAAAGAAGGATACATGCACAATATACTGTACTAAATGAAGAATAAATGACATGTAGTGATTAGACACTGTTTTTCTTGAACACTCTGGGATTTTCAGAGTGATACATGAGTAAAGGCTTCACTTTGCAATCCCCACTAGCATTACAACAAAACATGAGAGTTAGCCTGTCTTTCATAGGCTTATGTCTTGGGAGTGCCTTTTTCTCCTGAGTAATGTAGGTCCTGTTTGGCATTTTCTTCCAGAACAGGCCTGTTTCTTCACAATTAAACACTTGTTGGGGTTGGAATTTTTCAGCTTCACCATGCCTTATCACACTGTGTATGCCACTACGATTCTTAAATCTCTCAAACCAACCTTTGCTGGTCTTAAATTCACCAATATGAGCACTAATTCCAGGCATTTTTTCCTGTTCACCTGGGTGTTAGTCGACTAGTGTGGGTTGCATCCTGGGGGACAAGATTAAGGACTCCAATGGAAATAAGTTAGACAGTCCTCGATGATGCACTGACTTTCTTGGGTTATCCTGGGTGGCTAACCCTTTGGGATTAATCTTTTCTTGGTAATTGTTTCTCGTTAAGCCACACCAACAACAGTCTCTCCACGTCTTTGAATAGTACAACTGACGGTGGTGCAGCAACAGCAGTTGACCATGGTACAGCAGCAGCTGACTGTGGTGCAGCAGACCATGGTACAGCAGCAGCAGCTGACAGTGGTACAGCAGCAGCAGCAGACAGTGGTACAGCAGCAGCTGACAGTGGTACAGCAGCAGCAGCAGCTGACAGTGGTGCAGCAGCAGCTGACCGTGGTACAATAGTATTTCTCACCCTTTTTACCACAGGGTTGGCACTAGAAGTTTTCTTTGGACCCATGGTGGCTTATTTAGCAGGTATAAGCACTAAAAACAATGGCATAATACAAAATTTATCGAATGTATGCGTGTAACCGTCTGCCTTGGCTTGTAAACAATGGCACTAGCTGAGCAGAGGCACTCTGGCCAGACGGACCGCGTTCAGGATGAATGATGTAAGTCGAGTTTTTCTTCATAGGTTGGGGTAAAATTTTTACGCTGACGTGCTTCATAAGTCGATTTTATCATAAGATGAGGCCTTTGTAAGTCGGGGGTTCACTGTATATGTATGTGTATACATATACAGTGAACCCCAACCATATCCCACCATATCCCACTGAGGCAGGGTGGCCCAAAAATAAAAACTGAAGTATTTCTTTTTAAATTTAGTACAGTGGACCCCCGGTTAACAAACTTTTTTCATTCCAGTAGTATGTTCAGGTGCCAGTACTGACCGAATTTTTTCCCATAAGGAATATTGTGAAGTAGATTAGTCAATTTCAGACCCCCAAACATACACGTACAAACGCACTTACATAAATACACTTACATAATTGGTCGCATTTGGAGGTGATCGTTATGCGGGGGTCCACTGTAATTTGTACAGGAGAAGGGGTTACCAGCCTCTTGCTTCCGGCATTTTAGTTGCCTCTTACAGCACGCATGGCTTACAGAGGAAGAATTCTGTTCCACTACCCCATGGAGATAAGAGGAAATAAACAAGAACAAGAACTAGAAAGAAAACAAAAGAAAACCCAGAGGTGTGTGTATATATATGATTGTACATGAATGTGTAGTGTGACCTAAGTGTAAGAAGAAGTAGCAAGACGTACATGAAATCTTGCATGTTTATGAGACAGAAAAAAAGACACCAGGAATCCTACCATCATGTAAAACAATTACTGGCTTTCGTTTTACACTCACTTGGTAAGACGGTCGTACCTCCCTTGGTGGTTGCTGTCTACCAACCTATTACCTAGATTATTATTACTATTATTACTATTTCTTCTTCTTTCAACACACCGGCTGTATTCCAA